AAACTCCCCTCTCTCCCTTCTGGAGATTATCCAAAACTACCCCTCATCACCCTTTCCTATAAGAGTGCTTCAGTAGCCAATAAAAGCGATCTCTTGAATAATGGGAGCGCAGATGATCCTATCTCCAGAGCTGGGAGCTGGAGGTGTTGACCCTTTAGTGACACAGCACAATGAAGAAGAGAGTTTCAGGTTAAAGTGACACTACACTCACAAGTTAAATCTTAAAAATGAATTCACGTATCTTAACCATTAACAATCTTATTTGTGTATCACTCCGCTGTAGATCCTCAAATCACGTAGTTAAGATATGTGAATGCATTTTTAGGATTTAACTCCTGAGTGCAGTGTCACTTTAATAAATGCAATAGCATGCGCCTTGTATGGACTACTCTTACACTGAACCTGTACTTTGCCTCTACTGAGCATGTGCTTACCTTCCCCAAACTTACACAGGGCTGTGCACATTCTCATGCGATGTTGCTGGAGCCTGGGGAATGGTCACTAATGCAATGCATTGTGGGAAGACAAGGAAGTGTCATGTGCATCCTCTACCCACACTACTGTGGGAGTGCAGAGAAAGGTGTTTGAATTCCCTATAGTAAAGTGAACCTGTTACTTGACCCAGAATAAGCAAAATACAGGAGTTGTGGCTTTAAACTATTAGAGTGACAGCTTGTCTCTAATGTTGCCATGTAGCCCATTGTTCAATATTAGTTGCCATTGGAGGCCAACAAGCCTTGAAAGTGAGAGCTGCTATATGATTCTATTGGATAGGAAGTCAGCCGTGTACCAGAAATCATCACTTCCCAATATACCACCTAATAACCTCTATTGCATCCAACTCCTGGAACTTCCACAGAGGGTAATAAAACCTCTTTTACATACATGCGCTGATGAAAGTGATGCAGCTTATGCTTAGCAGCCCTCAAATAACTGTGCCGAGAGGAACAGTGTGTTCTAACCCGTGGCAGCCAATCAGAAAACTGCTTTCCGCGACTTTGTGCTCAGTCTAACCGTGCTCTTACTTTGTGTGCTGAAAACATGAATGAAATATGGAGCAGCACTCTAAATATGGATGGAATGGATTCAGTGTAAAAGTGCTGCAGTATTTACGAGTCATTTCTATGAGTTTTCCTCTTAACATTTAAGCCAATGTGGCGCTTTTTGTACAGCTGCATTTTCTAGATAGTTGCATGTTGTATACTGGAGCTCCTATATCGTGTGCAAAGTTATTTTCTATTGTATAACCAAACGGCACTGTGTTTTTAATATTGCTTTTTCTACATTGAAGAGAGTACAGAAACAGACATTTTAATGATAGGCTTATTGAAAGACTTTGCTAATTCGGTACGAGAAGTGGTTTTGTTAACACTCGTTTCCACCAGCGTGAGAACATGTGGACGAAGTGTATTCTTTTGTACAGTAAAGGCTCCGAGAAGCAGTCGATGCCAATATTAGGAAGAGGAAGCAGGGTTGCCTAGATCTGAGGTATGGGAGATGTCTTGTGGAAACTTGTGTCAGCTCTTCACACCCGGACAAGCTTGGCACGACCTCAATGCAAGCCTCTGCACAACTTGATCACGCCAATGTGCCTCAGTCTTTATTTGGTGCGACCATCTCTAATGCGATGACCATAGGTCATTTATCATGCCTAATAAATCTGTGTAGTGTTTATTACCAGCTACGTGTGGACTTATTATTGTTTCCAAAGAGTATAATAGCTGCTTTCCAAACACCTGTGATAATGGTCCACTGAAGACATGGCTTCTGTGAGAAATACTCTGATGTGCTATAACCAGAGACAACTAATATTTTATAAGCTGTTATTTACTGCCTGCCATGACTCTAGCACCTATTTTAAAGAAGAACTCCGGGCTAAACATCCATTAACTCTTGCAGTGAGGCTCGGCCTCCCCCCCCCCCCCCCGGTTTTTTTTTTTTTCCCCCCCCCCCCCCATGGATTGTAGTCTTTGGAGCGGAGGCTACTTTATAAACACACACAGGGACCATGGGGAAGAGAAGTAGCCAGCCTCCAGAAGGAAGGACAGTGTCAGCACCAATTCAGAGATGATTTGAGGATCTACAGCCGAGTAATACACAAATAAGATAAATCTTTGTTAGTAGTTAAGGTACTTGAGTGCGTTTTTAATATTTGAAGGAGAACTATGGGGTTAAGGCTATTCCCCATAGTTCTCCTTAGGGTAACGGGAGGACACAAACTAGCGTCCACCCATCACCCTAGGCTCAGTAAACCGCGAGCTGTAGCTCACGGTATACTGAGACGCCGCAGCTGAAGCGGATCCCGACAATTATGTCTGGATCCGCCCAGCTGCGTGACTGACAGATGGCTCTGCCTATCTAGAGGCAGAGCCAGCTGTACCCTCCCCCGTCCGTTCCGCCAGTCAGCGCTGGCGGATTGGAGCGGGGAAGGGGGAATCCAGCCCCTCCCCTGTCAGGGCAGAGAGCCGTGACAGGATCGAGAGGTGAGGGAACGCCGGTATGTGTTCGCTCACCTCCCGATCTACTGAGCCGACCTGTGACAGTCTCATTGTCACAGGTCGGCTAGAACTATGAGGTGAGTGAAAAGCACTCGCCTCATAGTTCACCTTTAACTCCTGGGTTTAGTATCACATTATACACTTCCTAATCTGCTACAAAAACATACCTTTAGAAGGCTTTCCCAAGTATAAGTCCTTATTTGCCATTTCTCCAGGGAATAGGGCAGGGCTAATTCTTTCTACAAAGCACTTCTGTGATTCTTCCACTTGCTACTACTCACCTGCTTACCTACAGTATCAGTGTGTCTAATGATTGGGGAGAGTGAGAAGCAGGCCTGCCTTATTAGCATTTGTATTTACAAATCCCAGTAATTTAGCAAGCTGTAGTATGAGCTCTCCTGCAGTTAGCAGGTCTGAGATGTGGTGTTAATTTGGCACTACAGAAATTGTTTTAATTGACCAGAAAAAGTGCCAGGTTTTGTTACTGACACACAGGTTCCCATGGTAATTCCAGTAGCCTCAGGGGTGTTTTCATTCGTCAGAGTAGAGACAACTGCTTTCACTGTAGCCAATACATTAACGCATAAAAACAATGGTTCCAAGAATTACTAAAGGCAGACTGCTTACGAGTAAAAGTATTTGATGACTGACTGGCCTGAAGCAATGTTTATATGTACCAATTGACATAAAACAAACATACTGGCTTAAAGAATCTGCATGAATGACTCACCTGCCAAGGTCTGTCCCAGTCTAAAGGAATAGGAAAGGCCCCCAACCAGGCCCCGACCACACTGCAGATGGTTGTGATCTGAAGACTATGATCCCAGACTGACATTGCCCTAAATATAAAGAATGAAGGGGTCATGTGACAAATTATACACAAACATTATACTGCCTTTCAGCTTTCTTTGCAGGGTCTGGGTTTTTCAGGTGTATGAATGATGGGGTGCCATCAATGAAATCTTGCATTTACTTCATCTGAAGTAACCCTTTTTTAAATAAAATATGAGCGCTGACCTACTTCTGAAAATTCTAGTTGCCTGACAGTTATACTGCCTGGCAACTGCCTGGCACGCGGCCGGCCGTGTACCGCTCCCGGCTGCCTCTCTCTCTGCACGTGGGCTTCCTTTTTGCCGTGGTCTTCGTGATCACCCCCCTCTTGTGGGGGATCCGTGACCACGGCAGATTAGGTTAGAGAGCACGGAGCAAGGCAGAGAACGCTTCTCGGCTTTGCTTCGTGTGAATAGTGACACAGGAATGCAGACTTCCTGTCACAGGAGAACGAGCACAGTGCTGTGCTAGAACTCCTGTGTTGGAGGTGACAGGGTCAATAAAGAGAGCCTGTCACCTCCAAAAGCTATCACACAAGGGTTTGTTAACCCTTGTGTGATAGCAATAAAGTCAAGTGAATAAAAAAAAAGTAAAAAATAAAATATATAACATTTAAAAATGTAACTACATAAAAATTGGAAAAATACAAAGGCGATAAAGTAAAAAATAATACAAATAAATGATAAAAAAATATTACAAAGCAAAAATAAAAAAAGTAAAATAAAATCTAAAAAATTGAAACCAACCCCTATCATCTGCATGCGAATAAATGCATGCATGGGGCATTCTGTGTGTGTGTGTGCGCGGAGTGGGCGATCCGTTATCGCATGGCAATCATGCACAAAACCGTGTGGATGGCTGGGCGGTCACAGAATCGCACACCACCGCCGATCGTGCTGGCAGTGCCATTATTGTCTAATGGCACCCCAGTAGCGCCAGGCAGATTGCGCAGTTTCCCGCTGCAATAACGCCCGTGCATTCGCACATTATCGCGGTTGAAAACACAGCACGGTGTGTGTCGTGAAAAAAGGTACATGTACCTTTTTTTCAGCGATTACCACGCGGATATAAGCCCATTGAAATCAAGGGGGCCGTGTGGCAATCGCACAAGGTCGCCCGAGTCTGCACCCACGCCAAAGGGTAAATTCACTTTCCCAAGTAATTTGGGAAAATGGAATTGCCTGCACAAATCTGGTCCCCTCTCCCCCCGCTATACTTACCTTTCAGGGAACGGTCCTTCCCATCTGCCAATATGGGTGTACTATCTGTACCTGTGCCATGTATTCTGAATTTCGCTCGCAAAATTCAAGCACTTGTTGGTCAGCGCAGTAACCTGACGGCACTGGCCAATGAGAAGCTCTTCTTGGCACTGCTAAATACGGTTTTAGTAAAAAAAATTCTTGATCAGGACAAGTAGATTTCCATGAGGGACAAGTAGATCAGGCCCCCGCTTCAGTCCTTGGACAAGTAGTTTTTTTTTAGATTTCCACACCCCTGCTACACAACATATCATGCAACATCAACTAAACAGAATCAATTATTTTGGCATTTTACTGTCAGAAAAGTTTATAAAAATGATGACTTACCCATCTTTACTGAACACTCTGACCCAAGCATGGAAATTTGGTCCAAGAATGAACAGACAGCGTGACGTTGTGAAGGATGCTAACAAAACTGCAAATAAAAAGGTTTCCCCCACTGATCTGTAAGAGAACATGAAGAGTCAGCTTGACTGAACACCAGTAAAGTACAAACCAACAGCAATTTTTTAAAGGATGTATATCATTGAGCCAAAGAGGTTTGGAAATACATACAGTATGTACTATAATCATGTTTATCACAGATCAGTGCATTACAATGGAGCAGGATGTCAGCAGGAACAGAGAGGAGAGGCAAGAGATACAAGGATCTACTTATCAATTTTTTTTCTATTACCCGCCATTCAATTAGACAAACGTACGGATCATTCGTGAAGACATTGATAAATAGACCCCAGAGAGCTAATGTGTCTCTACACAGGTTTGCAATACCATTACTAGAAACAGCAAGGAGAGTACATCTGGCTATGTAAAAATAAGGTAAACCCTTTAGAATATACTGTATACTGTACTCTGACAGAAATAATGGAGCTTGAAGGGAAAACGTGTGGTTGTGCTTTACAGTTCAGAGAAATCAGCAACACAATAAATGACGCTAGTAGGTTGCCTCTGCTTATGTGTTTTTATCATATCCTCTATTCCACTTGCCCAGGATTGGGACAAGGTTTTGTTAAGTCTGCTGTGAAATATAATTGTGCCCTCATGATTTCAGGTCACTAGAATGAGGCAGTTTCTTGTAAACAACATGTAGAGTAAAGAAATGTATTTGCTTTTAACACATACTGAAGGGAATTTATCAAAACTGGAGCAGACAAGATCTGAAGCTACTGTGCACGGCAACCAATCAGCTTCTCTCTATCATTTTCAAATCTTAACTGAACAAACGGAAGAGAGAAGCCGATTGGTTGTTTTTTGCTCTCCATTGCTTTGCTTTGTAAATTCTACTAAGATTATCAAATATTATCCATGTTTAACAGTTATTCTTATAAAAGGATTTATAGTATATACACAAGGATTACTTGTATAAGGTGCCCTCCTTAAAATGTGGATGCTCTCATAGAATAACTGGCTGGGAGGGAGCTGGAAGGGCTATGCACATTTAAAAGGATGCTTTTTATTAGGGATGCACCGATACCGGTATTTCAGTATCGAGTACCAATATTTTTTTTCCGTACTTGCCGATAGCGAATACCGGAAGTCCCATTCAGGAAGCCAGGCGGCGAGTAATGACTCGCCACCTGGCTTCCTGATTAGCCGGGAGGCGTGTAAAGACTCGCCACCCAGCTTCCCGATTAGCAGGGAGGCCGTCACTAGGTGACGAGAAAGCATGGAGCCGGCTTTCTAGCCAATCAGCAAGCCGGGCACCGTGTAATGACGCGGGGCCCGGCTTCCTGATTGGCCGGGAAGCTGGCTCCATGCTCCCTCGTCATGAGGTGACAAGAGAGCATGAAGACGGCTTCCCGACCAATCAAAAAGCTGGGCGCCGCGTCATTACACGCTGCCCGGCTTCCTGATTGGCCGGGAAGCCGGCTCCATGCTCTCTCGTCACAAGTGATGAAAGAGCATGGAGCTGGCTTCCTGATACCGGAAGTATCAGGCTGGGCATCAGAGCATTTGGGCGAGTACTCGTACTCGCCCAAATACTCGGCATCGATACTAGTATCGGCGCATCCCCTACTTTTTATAAATAACAGCACTGCAGCCTCTCTCTCCCCTCTCCTGTCAGCACATCTCCTTTTGCACATACCTCTTTTCAAAATACATGTGCGGTTTAGGAATGATTATTTCAGAACTGCTGGCATTAAATAAAAACAATACTCACTCTACAAGAGGTGCACCGTACAAAACTATAATCCCATGAAATAGCAGACAGGAAGCAAAGAAATATAGGCAGGATCGGTACAGTTTATTAACCTGCAAAACAGAATAATTATAAAAATGAAATGTTTCAATGAAAGCAAAATAATCAATGAAACAAACTGGCTAAGGATAGGCAAGGCATCACTAACAGGTATTTCTGATTATTAAGTTGTCGTGCAGTGTACATGTGAATGGGCCTAATACCGAAGATGATGCAACTCCTGTGTGCATGCACAGGAGTTACATCATCCGTAGCCACCCAATGGCCGAAGAGGTGGGGGACCCGAAAGAGCTGGAGAAGGGCACACTTGTAAGGCAAGAATCCCATAATGTACAAGTATGCACAGCATAATTGCACATTATGACAAAAACCCACCACGCACCCTTCACACAGTGATTAACACCCGCTTTAAGTAGACAACTCCTTTGAAGAATAATACAAATTTAACAGAAAACCAGAATATGTTTTCAAAAAATAAGTTGTAAAAACTAAAAGAAAGTTGTGTCTGTACTCAACCATCACGACGTGATGCTTAAAAGGGAAACTTTACCCATATCTTCAAAATAACAACAAACACAGCTTTAGAAATGTTTAGTAATGACAATCTACAAACACATACTTCTAGATAATTGCCAGCTTTGTATTCTTTATTTTCTTCTTCATTCTTCTCACAGTGGTCATTTTTACTAAGGGCAGACTACTAGATCTCTCCTTACTTCCTGGAACTCTAGCACATGTGACTAGGACATGTGCCCATGTACATCATCTCAGGGGAGGAAAATGCCTTTCCCTGAGATTGTGTGAGATCACACATGAGATTTCCCAGCAATGCTCTGCTGATGTAATCTTCCCAAAAACGCATCTAAAAGACTAGCGTGCGTGTGCAGAAACCTGACCGGATCTGCTCTGCATTTGGTGTGAACAAGGCCTTAATCTCACCTTTGTAAAATAAGGCCACTGTGAGAAGAATGGGAAGGTAAACAAACATAAGGCAGGCAAAGAATAGAAAGGCTGCTATTATCTAGAAGTATGCGTTTGTAGATTGTCATTAGTAAATATTTCTAAAGGTGTCTTTGCTTAACCCCTTCATGACTGAGCTAGTTTTCAGTTTCTGTTCGTTAATGACTGACACATTTTTGCTGTGTGATTCTTCCACGGCAGTAATATACTTTTTTTACTAAATGTACCCACACATATTACCGTATATACACAAGTATAATTTTGTGACACTTTGTAAAAAAAAAAAACAAAAGAAAACTTTTTTATATTTTTTTGACAGTTTATATCAGTCACTATGACTGCTTGATAAATTTACTTTTTTTCATTTTGGGTTATTATTTGGCTGCTCCAAACTTAGGAACAGCTAATAATAACCTTAGAGACTGATCCTGACAGCATGTCAGATTCAGTTCTCACTAAAGGTTTCTGATCATGCCTAGACGATCAGAAGTGATACATTTCAGGCACAGAGATACATTGTAATATTCCTGTGCCTGAAATGTATCATAAACATCGGCTATCCTGCTGTCAAAACAAATAGCAGAGAGGTGACTCACTCTGCTACCTCCATCTGTCAAATAACAGATCGCTATTTAGTGATCCTGTATTTGTAGGTAACGGCTTCATTCTTTCATTAATGAAAGAAAGAAGCTTTTACAAAAGCTTAACTATTTCATTAATGAATGCCTCAATACTGAGACATTCATTATTGACTGGTGACCGCTAAGAATCAGCGGTTACCAGGATTACAGAGCCTTAAATAACTCGTCACGCAGTGTACGTGGCCAGTCATATAGGCACTTCGTGGAGGGATATACAGTGTACGTCTCCCATCATGAAGGGGTTAAAGGTAAGGGAAAAATTCCTCTTTAATAACACCGGGGTGATGATCTATAGTTGCAGTATTTCTGACATTAAGTCGGGGTTATGTTATGTAGTAGTAGTAGTATTTCCAAAATGACACTGGTGTTATGTCAGGTAGTTTTATTATTTCTGAGATCACATCCGGGTTAGGTTATGTGGTTGTAATATTTCTTTACTTACACCAGGGTGATGATATATAGTTGTAGTATTTGTGAAATCACACTGGGGTTCTGTGGAAATGTTTGACTTTAACAGTGTTCAGCAGATTTATTATATAAGTCATCATATCGCTGCAGAATTCTAGAATAAGGTCAATAAGTTATGTATTCACCTTGTGTGAAAGAGAGCTTCTTTTGGTTGAAGGGTTTGGTTTCAGTGTTAGAAGTAATAAAGTATTAACCGCTATGACACAGACGGAGCAGAAGCACAGCCATGTGAGATGTGTTCCTAGGACGGAGAAGTGATCGAGGAAGAGTGGTGGGACACATAGCGAAAATATCACAGCCAAGACGCTCAGCACATGTCCGACTGCAAGTCTCCTGATCTCCGTCTCATCCATTGGGTCACCTAAGAAAAGAAAATACATTAATTTTTAAAACAAATACTATAACCAAAAACCAAACATTGATGAATGTGGTCTTCATTCAGGCAATTCCATTCATTCCAAAATCGAATATTAAATCGAATGAAATTTTGATTAAAACAAGTTGAGTCTTTGATGGTGTGGTTCTGATGAGATTTTTCATATAAAAGTTCGTACAAAGATCTCCCAGTGTATGACCAACTTCACTCCTCAAACACCTCTTCTGGAAGACAGCAATAAAATGAAATTAAACAAAAAGGAAATTCAAACTGTCTGGAGCCTTGATGACCACTCTCAAATGGCAGAGAAATGAAAGGTAAAATGTTATATTTGCAAACGCGATTCATTTTCTTGGTATGGCCTGGATGGGAAGGGGGTTTAACACCGCGGATGTCAACTGGTTAAAGAAGCTCACGTTTCAAAAGAGATGTTAGGCATTAAAGTAAAACTCCAGGGAGAGCCAATCAGTGGATGGAGTTGAGGTATTGACGACCTCTATGTCCCTCATAGATCCAATCACTGAATCCCGATCCCTCTAGTCTTCAAGGTCATGGAAATCTGTTTGGGAATCTTAGAACCCAGGACACTGAGGAGCAGGACAGGAGTGGCCAGCAGTTTATCATCAGCACAACCCAAAGTGTTCACTTTCCTTAGTATTCTGGAAAAAAAAAAAAGCTGTATTTTGTGACCACCAATGAACACGCTTTGATGCGCAAGACGGATAACCTTTAAATTAGGGATGCACTGATACCAATACTAGGTTCGGTATCATTGCCAATACCGAGTATCTGGGCAAGTACTTGTACTTGCCCAAATGCTCCAATACTTATCCCAATACCGGAACTTCCGGTCAGAGGGAGATTTCCTGTCAGTGCCAGGAGGGAACATGGAGCCAAATAGTGGCTCCATGCTATTTGGCCATTAAGAAAGCACAGCAATGCAGGCGGAGTGTGCAGAGCGGCACCCCCTATAGCAGAGCGCAGTTCCGATTAATCGAACTTAATAATCGGCCAACTAATCGATTATGAAAATAATCGTTAGCTGCAGCCCTAGTACTCACCAGCCGTGCACTGACAGCTCTCCCTGTGCATCTCCGGATTCTGGTCGATTGTGACGTCACCAGCTAGATCACAGGGCCACCAGACTGCAGAGGCATCCAGACCTCTCTGCCCGTGGACTGCAGAACCCGGAAGTGCCAAACAGCTGGCTCAATGCTGATCGGCCGGGAAAGCCAGCTTCCTGGCCAATCAGCATCGAGCCAGCTTCCCAGCCAATCAGGAAGCCGGCCAGCAAATAATGACCCGCCTTGCTAATTGGCCAGGAAGGCGGCTCCATGCTGATTGGCTGACATGCCGGCTTCCTGGCCATTCAGCATCAAGCAGGCCAAACACCCAGCTCGATGCTGATTGGCCGGGAAGCCAGCTTCCCGGGCAATCAGCATCAAGCCGGCCAAACAGCATTGAGCCGGCTTCCCGGGCAATCAAGAAGCCGGGCAGCGGGTAATGACTCGCTGCCCGTCTTCCCGATTGCCCGGGAAGCTGACTCCATGCTCCCAGAAGTAATGGTATCAGTACTGGGTATTGGCGAGCACCAAAACATAAATATCGGTACTCATACTCGATACAGAAAAAATTGTATCGTTGCATCCTTACTTTAAATGAAACCAATCATGAGAAAAACATGGAAGCTGCCATAACTGCAAAAATATATATATAGTAAAATACTGGGACTCCACCATGACAGCTACAATAACCGACCTTCACTTCAGAAAATTCTAATTCCCACCTGACATGCTGACCCTTTTACTTTCATTCATTGTGTCAAATAGAGGCAGAAAGCGTGCTGATAGACTCTGCTGACCTGCGTGCTTGTTCCAGGTCGATGACTTAAAAGGCAATTAAGCCAGTGGATAAGGATAACAGTTTGGCAACTAGAATTTTCACATCATCAACAGCAGCCCCCCGTAGATCTCCCATACCAGACATCCCTTGTGCCAGAGGGAGACCACTAGAGAGAAATACAGATTTTGTATTGCTGACCTCCTTCTGCTAGCCACCACCCGGTCCCTGACAACGGTACTGTCGGGAGACACTCTGCTGATCCAAAGCCTGTAAAACCCAGCTCTGAGCACAAAAAAAACAACAACTTACCAGGGTTATAGCGGTTACCTGTTCTCTTGCATTAAAAGTAACCCCTCCCCCCCATCATGCAAGCTTTCTTCTGAATCCATCACATCTGCTTGTTTACATGGTAGATTGGTATAGCACCTGGCGGTGTTGGTTACTTTTAATGCAAAGGACCAGGGTCGTCCCTATGATGAGGCAGCCTGAGGCAGTGCCTGCCGCTCCTTTCCGGCCAGAGTCTCCCAGGTTGCTATGAGCTCTTAGCAATCTGCGACACCCTGACCAGCGTCCCGCCCAGCTCCAGACAACCAGTGACATCAGTGAGCTGGGCAGAATGCCACCCCCCCCCCCTCCCAAGGCAGCAAATATTCTAGGGCAGCACACCCCTGGAAAGGAATATGTACCCGCTGGGCTTTAACATTGAAGGGCCATTTACATCTGTGTTACCATAGTCCACCTCAGACATGTTTTCCTTTCATTTATTTTCAGCAGCTCCCCAAGGCTCTAAGGGGGCCTATATTAATGCAGCCCACGCTGGTCGTGTAAATGGGCCCCAGAGCTGCTGACTTTTCTCTGACTTCTCCCGCTGCATGGCCGTCCCCCATCAATCACTCAAATAGGCCAAAAGCAGCCAGAAATGTAACTTTTTCAGAAGATGGTCAGTGATGGCGGCCAATGTATCCAATGAGGGGGGGGGAAGGGCAGCCAGGCAGCTTCTACAGTACAGAGGGGGTTCAGGAGGACAGGAGGAGGGAAGATTGGGACAGGAGAGGATGGGGATGATGATAGGAATAGGAGGGGAACATGATAGGGGTGGAGGGGAAAGGAATAGAAGAGGATGAGAACAGAAGGGAGGATGGGGATTATGATGATGAAAGGAGTGGAGGGGATATCAGAAAAAAAGATGGGGACGATGATAGGAGTGGAGGGGATAGGAGAAGGGAGGATGGGGATAATGATAGGAGTGGAGGGGATAAGAGAAGGGAGGATGAAGATGAAGATAGGAGTGGAGGGGATAGGAGAAGGGGGGATGGGGGATAATGATAGGAGTGGAGGGCATAGGAGAAGGGGGGATGGAGATGAAGATAGGAGTAGAGGGGATAGCAGAAGAGAGGATGATGATAGGAGTGGAGGGGATAGCAGAAGAAGGGAGGACGATAACAGGAGAAGGGAGTATAGGGATGAGGGCCCCAGCTGAAGGACACACAGGTTGTAACGAGGGGTGACTTGTTGTGTACACAGATCTCACACAGCTCTGACTAGGACATTATGAGCTCGGGAGGAGTCACCCGGTTAACTAGGAGCAGTGCAGAGCACCGGTAATACCAAGAACCTCCTCCCTCTCGGGGTCACCATCACCTCACCTGCTCCTTCACCGCTCCTCCTCCATTACCTGCACCGGGAACCCGCCCGCTCAGCCAACAGCGAATCGGCCCTCGAGGTAGTCGGCACGTGACCAGAACGGGAAGTGACGTCTACAGGAAGTGCTCGTGTTTACTATCTGTCGCCTGGTGGAGACGCAAAAGAGAAGATGGTGTGTGACAATTGTAAGTGGGCTGATATTCTCTCCTGCGGTCTTTAGTAAAGACACCCGTACTGGGAGAAGGAAGCCATTGCTGGCATGCTTCTGAAACCAATAGGAGTTCCTGGCTGCTTCTGGGTCTCTGACCCTGAACAAGTATGTGTCCAGTGATGTCAGGCTTCCTGATGATCTGCCTGTACATTCCACCTCAATGGCTTAGAAAGTATTGGAAGCGTAACTGAAACAAAACATCATTTGTAGCTGTGTATAGAATGGTGAAGGGGCAGACTGTCTCTCGGGGCTTTATCACTCTCTGAGATTGTGTCTGGGAGATTTCTTCTCACTTCCTGTCCTGGTGACAACAGTGCCACCAGAGCAAAAATACAGGAAAATCTGCCACAGCAGTAAAAAGCTGACAGATGGTTCAAGCCTTTGCCTACATTACGTCTTCCCCTTAGGGGTTCAGTATAGAAGTTTGCCAGATGGATGCTGCTCGGACGACACTAGCACTCCTAGATGGTGCTGACGAGTGTAGGAATTTTATAAGTGAATCCTTTGAAGTGTATTCACACCCGAGCACAGAAATATCCTGCAATGTGGTGGCTGCATTTTTCACCTGGTGATCCTGCCAGTAACACACTTCCTGTCCCAGAGTGACAACTCTCACTGTTCTCACTGAGGTGTGTTGTAGTTCGCAGAAGTTAGCTAGGAATGTGTTTTTATTATTTAGGGGGAGGGGGACTAGTTGAGGGGAAGACGAGAAGCAACGTTGATGACATTGTTTGAGATATGATTTCAGTACCCAGAAAGTTACAAGGAAAACACATTTCTATAAGGATTAGCATCAGTATAGTAAGTTTATTGTTCTTGGGTTATCCTTCAGTGAGGGGAAATCTCTAACGGGGACACAATAGAATCACTTTTTCATAGTAGAGTTTGGGAAGAATAGAACCCCTGTCAGGTTCTTTATTGTTGCCTGTGTCTCTGGCGGGGATTTCTCTTTACTTCCTGTCCTGGTGGCAGTGTTGTCACTGGACTAGGAAGTGAGGAGAAAGCTCACTGCAAAGACCTCAGACTGCAATAAAAAATAAACACTGACAGAGATTTGTAACATTTCCAGATTCCACGCAGAACAACAACAACAACAAGTATTGGCTGGTACTACACTGGAAGCTTAAAGGAGAATTATGAGGTGAGTGATTTTCACTCCGCCTCATAATCTGAGCCGACCTGTGACAATGAGACTGTCACAGGTCGGCTCAGTAGATCGGGAAGTGAGCGAACACATACTGTCGCTCGCTCACTTTTCGATCCATACGTGCAGGGAGCCGCGACCGTGCAGGGATTCCCCCTTCCCCTGTCCGATCCTCCAGCGCTGACTGGCTGAACGGACGGGGGAGGGGGTGGGCACACGCGAGCCGATTGGCTGAAGTTGGAATTGTTGATCTCGGCACGCTCGGCTCCGCGAGCACTCACCAGCTGAGGTGCCCAGGAGAAAATGACATGACACACTGCTCGCAAAGGCAGCGCGCCACCGCTTCGCCTGCAGTGTGTCACGGCCTTTAGGGCTTGTTCACAGCATGTCCGTTGGGGATGTCTTTTTCTGCACACCACCGAACATGGATGGTGTGAACAGGGCTATAGATATCAGTTGTTTATTATGTGCTCTGTTCACACCATCCATGTGCGGAACAAACAATCCAAACGGACCTGGTGTGAACTAAAGCCCTTATAGAAGCAGGTCAGCGATGGCAGCCTATTCATTTCTCCCAGTACAGGTTTTCTTTAATCAGCGTACCTCCCAATGTTTGGGGATGGTAAAGAGGGGCACCTCCCATGTGTCCCGCGCAATGTCATTGCATGTCTCATCCGCATATACATGACGGATGATTGGGTGATTTACATATGGTTATGTGCACTGCTGTTTTCCTGTAGGTAAACTAACAAAAATAGTATATGAGTCGTGTTTAAAGGACAAATTAGCCCCCTAAACTAACCTAGAACTCCACCCCAGGTGCTTGCTAACCTCTTCATGATGCCGATGGGCTCCCACAGTGTTTACATTGTGAGCCTGGACCCTTACGTGGCGCTGCCTGCACAGTAACTTCCCTTAGACTTGAATAGGATTATACTCCTAACATCTCTACTGCAGGGCACACAGCCTCATATCATCCTGCGGTGTGGCCAACACTGGAGAACATCTTGGGATGCAGGATGTAAACTCTGGAGGCCACAGCTGGCACACCTGGGTGGTAAATGTTAGGTTAGGGAGCTCGGGAGGGTGAGCTGTATATGACATTTGACAGTAATAACAACTGACAGGATAGTTAATAAACAAAGTCGCATTGCTAGAATAAAGGTGCCTATCCTTGTGGTAAAGAATGTGAATTGGGCCGCATGAGTTTTCTCTATAATGCTAAGCTTGCACCATTTGTAGCAGTTGCTGTTCTAATTCTGCAAGTTATGAAATGATAGAAACCACCTGATTGTTTGCACCTTTCATGATGACAGAGAAGTGACACATATACTTTTCTAATGTCAGGTGAGAAGAAGCTGGGCACAGTCATCACGCCAGACACATGGAAATCCGGTGCAAGAAACACTACAGGTAAAATACCGTACTTGTGGGGAGAATGGCGTTGTGTTTCAGGATTTATTTACTGCATACATATATATAAATGGGTGCCGTTTTTTTTCAGTTGCTATGGACATCGTATATTGTGGACGTTGTTTTTATAAAGTAGACCTTGACTAGGGCTGCAGCAGCTAATCGCTTTACTAGGTGATAGTCGAGAATGAGAATCGTTGTCAACCCGTGCCCTCGCTGTGCCCCCTGCTATTGGCTATTTTAAATTGCAATAGCAGACTGGCTATTACACCCACCCACTGTCTGCTGTTAATCAACAGAGGAGGACCTGAAGGAGAACTTTCTCCTTCAGGTCCCTTCTCTGCTGATTGACAGCAGAGAGTGGGTGCAATAGTCAACCTGCTATTACACTTTGGAATAGCCAATAGTAGGCTGGCTATTGCTCCCAGCGACTGCCTGCTGTTTTTAAATTCCACAGCTAAAGCAATTGAAGTGGAAAGGTGACACTAGGGGTCTAATAGACCCCTAATGTCACCTTAAAGAGAACTTGTCACCTCCAATGTGCTATCACATAGAGGGCTTATGATAAAATAAATAATACCCCACCAAAAAACATTTAAGTCCCCTGACCCAGCGGACATGCGCATACTATCGCAAACAATATTCATGGCTAACTGTAAACTGATGACTTGGCTTTTATATATATATATATATTATTTTATTTGTCCAATTTTGGTGTTTTATTTTAAATATAAGTTTGGTTATTTTATTATATTGGCTTGGAGTTCTACTCAGATTATTTTAAATCCATGAACGTTACTAAAATGTCTAATATAATGCATGCAGAAATGAAAAATGGTCGGCAAGGGGGAAGTAATTTTTGGTTTTGGCCTGACAAATTCTGCTGCGGAATGTGCGTTGCAAGGCCATTTATTTCCATGGCACCCCAAGCGCGCCTCCCACCAGCGGTGTGATTGCCCACAGTGGAACACGCGATAATGCAACACCGTGTGCTCTAGTGCGGTGTGATTGCAAAACGTGTGCATGCAGTTTTATTCGGAAGTAACTCTTATGTTTGTAACCCTCTATTTGTGTATTTTATTTTAAATAAAAATATTTAATATTTTTTTATACGATTCATCGAAAAAATAAGCGTCCATCTAATCGATTATGAAAATAAATGTTAGTTGCAGCCCTAATCTTGACTAAACACCAAGTCTGTAATTTACAGTGTAAAAAACATACCTTGTGCAAAAAAAACCAGGTTGTCTGTCTCTTGCTGGTAGCCAAGGCATTGGTCATACTTACCTTGCTGGTGCAGAGCATCTTTAGGGACTAATATTTACCAGAGCTACTTATTGGCTAGATACTGTATGCCTAAATATCAACTTGGAAGGAGCCTTTGTTTGGGACCTTATGTGATTAGTAGCTTGGCACTGGTCACTTGACTGGCTGTTAGAGGGAGACATGATTCACTTTTTCACTAGTCTAAATTGCTATTTTCTAGTATTTTTCAATTGCATGTATAAAATAACTTTTTTCTTTATTTATGCATCCACTTTAATGGTTGGTGACCTAAAGGGCCCAACACTATAATATCAAGTTGTTGTCTGCTTCTGTATTGTCAGTGTCGTTTCCGTGGTGTATTTATTTATTTTATTTTTTTGTAGTAAGTAATTTAAAGGGATTCTGGCTAAAAGAAATCAGGTTACCAATGCTGAGTTGTTTTTGAAGGAGTATACCCCGGGGCAGGTATGCTAATCCTGCCTTTTTTACATATTGAGTTACAGACATGAAACAGACATTTGTATATAGGATGTCCTGACGCCTTATATGCAAATGCTCGTACCAAGTAGTGAAGACAGGATCAGGATGACCGGTTGGAGCATGCACCTTCCAAAATAAATCAGTGGTTACATCCCCTACATTTATCAGAACAGTTCCCATTTAACTCAGCTGGGTTTCTTTGGGTTTATACAGAATATCTACAGCAGGTTATTTAGTGGATTGATAAAGTATTGTACAGTTCTGGAAATGGGCAGTTGAATCTATAAGTGATGAGCTTATTGCCAACTGGCACATTGTCTATTCTTTAGTCAATTATTAAATGACTTGAAATGCAAATGATTGGTGATTACAGGTAACTGCCTCCCCCCCCCCCCTTTACTTATGTATAATAGGTAAGTGCTTCTTTAAGAATGAATATTTGTCACATGCTTTGGATCTGAAATGTATCGTTTATTCAAGTTCATACTCATTTCAATTTGTATCTTGATAGAAAGTGGAGGTCGGAAACTGAATGAAAACAAGGCACTGACTGCAAAGAGAGCGAGGTAAGTTCAGTTTACATGAATGACTCTCCTGGTTTTCCTTGGTGCACTTAAAGCTGACATCCACAATGAATAAGTATAAATACAAGAGTTGTGTATTCTTACTTGAATCTTGCTGTGCTTTGTGTTCAGTAGACCAGTATGAAAGGTTGCCTCTCTGTTGCAGCTTCCTGTAATAAAGACAGCTTCTTTCTTCTTGTGCTGGGTGACTGGTCTTGTATCGGACTGTTTTCATGGTCCCTGATCCTTCTGTACTCAATATTTCAGCAGAGAAGTAAGACTACTGTCTAAATGCACAAATCCTGATGCCACAATAAGCTTAGTAATGTAGTGTAAGTAAAACAGGAGCACGTTAGTTTTTTATAAAAAATCAAATAGTCATTCTCCTAATTTTATAGGTTCCCCCCTACACTGTGCACACCCTGTAGACTGTACTAACTTACTGCAGAGTTTTGCTGCAGTGACTGTGGCAAAAAAGCCACCGCACAGTACCTTCTCGCACAGCTTCATATTGTCCAACCCACGAGCATGCAGGAAAGGCTGACATTGCCACAGCTAAACTGAGTAAATGTTGCACACTGCTAGTAGGATCAGCTGGCTAAAATTGGGAGGAAGGAATGGCAAGGCTGCGAGGGAGGGGAGTATCAGGGGGGGGGGGGGGGGGGTGAGTT